GTGCAAAATGTATATGGTAAAAATAAAGGGAACGAAGAGTTTATTAAAGAAATTAATAATCTTAATCTTTACTTTTTCAAATTGAAGAGGTAAATCACTTTTAAGATCCCAAAGAAAAACTTTAAATTTTAAGTAATAATTGGTATTAAGCCAAATAACTTTTACATAAACATCCAAAATAATAAAAGTCGCTATCTTTCTTTCATTTGTAATTATTTTATTTATTTATTTTTACATATAAATGGACAATTAGAAAACGTTTATTCTCCATACTTTGAATAAACCCTTTTGCTTTTGTAAATGTTTTTTTAGGTACCGAAAGTTTGAAATATTGGTATATTATTCCTAAGAAACCTTTTTTTTTTAGATCAAAGTTGACATACCAAGAGATGGACATTTAGTTCAATGTGCCCTATATACTTTTTCTTTATAAAGTTTTTGTTAAATTATTTTTCTTAGTATTTAGTAATTAGCGGGGAATTGAGCAAAGGCCGAACCACAAGGGTCTATCGTATATAATCGTACATCATATATATATATTTCTGTAAGAATCTATTTTCACAACTTGAGCCTGTGACCTTTTGCTCATACGACAATAACTTACTTGTTACATTAAAGTACCCTTGTTAATTCAATGAGCCCTATGTACTTCTTCTTTATAAATTTATGTTTAACTGTTTTTCTTAATATCCAATAATTAGCGGAATACTGAAAAAGGATCGAATCATAATGTTCTAGTTTACATAGTCTTGTCTTGCATGTATCTCATATTTTCAGAGCCTGTGATCTTCTGATCACAAAACAACAACTTAACAGTTACGTCAAACAACCCTTCTTAATAATCATAATCATATTCTACTTTTAAAAAAAACTGTTTTTTTTCCTCAAAGAATTTCACTTTTTTTAATTAGTATTTTTTTCAAAAACATAATGATGTCCACTTTTGAATCAATGTATTTTTCTTTTATTAATCATGCAAGAGGACTCATTGAGTGCCCAAGAGAATTAATTAAAAAAAAGAAAAAGAGTATTAATTGACTGGCCTATAATGTGACAAAGATCATAAATTGTTTTTTCAATAATTTGAAAATTTTAGGAAGTTAAAGGTTTTCTTGAGAAGATGGGAAAATCCTTCTTTTTAAGTACATACGTGAGCCATGCATGATCAATTATATGCCTTTTTAAACTATATTCAACTTAATAATTATTATACTTTTTTTTATACTTGGACCAAAATAGTGATTTTGCTAGAACAAGACCTTTTTTTTTAATTCAACGAGAAGAGATTTGACAAGACGGAGTTGAAATAGCAGTTTCTTTCATGGCTCACACTCGTGACTATTCATACATAACTTTACCATTGCTTCAAGGTTTCTGTTTTCTCTGGCGAGGATTTAGATATGGATTATTTTAACCTCTTAAGGCCTTAATATCATGAAAGATTTTCTTATTGTATTGTATTGTAAATACACCTCTATATTTATATTTATAAACCAAGTCAGAGTTCTAGACTAAGTCACGTAATGAGAATAACAATTCTATGCAAACTAAGCCATAAATAAATAAAGTCAATTCATATTAGATAAATGAGTTGCTCGAATAATAAACATTTTCGTTTTTCATTCTAATTCTTGAGTCATTAATTTGAGTAGTCTTATTATCCTTATAGGTAGTGGTTATTTTTTTCACAACATGTACGTTGCTACTTTAATTTTTTAAAGAACTTTATGTTATTTTATTTTATTTTTCAGTCAAAAGGCAATGTCACCAGACACCAATTGTCCAATTCAATTGTGTGTTGAATGGTGTAATTGATATTGTTACGTTAGAGATTTATAACTTTCTCGGTTCTCTACGTACTGCATTATGTCACTATCTTAATTTATATGATATTATTTAATTGAATACGGACTTAGAAAAGAAAAGATGACTTTTTAAAGTTATGAAACTCGTTAACCTTTATTTTGTCTTTCAGAAATTCTCCAAGACTCTCTTAGTAATTTTAATCGGAAGCAAAAAGGAGTAAGGAATGTTGGCGAAGAAGAACAAATTAACAACCAACATGAATCGTGATTGGATGATTGAAAATTAATCCACCATTAATCAATTATCTCAAATTTGGAATATATGAAGAATTTATTAGATTTCAATACAGATATCGAATACTGGATGGAAAAATACAAAAAAAACAAAACTACTATCGTTTTCTTCCTCTTTTAATCCTAAGCCATGTCTCTTTCTATCTCTTTTTTAATTTCTTTTTGATGACCTCACTTATGTAATATAAAAAAAAATAAACACCGTTTAATTTAAACTAGAATACTAAAAAGAAAAAGTCGACATATATCTTTTTCCTTTAGTTTTTTTTTTTCTTTCCATTTTTTATTTTTATTTTCTCCAAGAGTGAACGGAAATAATAATTACTCTTACTCAACTTTCTATATTTTTCTAATATATGTATATAATAATAAAATAAAATAACAAAGAAGCTTCTCGAATCCTTTGTAATGTTTTCGTTCTACTTGATAAATAAATATATTAAATTAATTTTCAATCAAATATAACGATGTTTAAAATTTATACTACTCAAAATGCTAATACATATAACTATAGTTCAATTATTATTTTTACGTGTTCTTCATGAACATCTCTTTCTAACCCTAAGGACAAATGAAAACTATCATTTTCCTCCCTCTTTTTATCCCTAACTATGACAAGTCTTTTTCTATATCTTCTATTTCTTTTTGAAGACCTCATCTCTCCATCTTAAAGTTTTTCCCTTTTATTATTATCATAGTATTTTGTTCTTCGATTTTTGTTATTATCTGTTTCCTTTTTTATTTTACTGTTGTTATTGTTACTTTTTTGTTGTTGCTAAGTGTTATATATAATTCTTTCAAACTGCTTCGATATGTGTTATTTGAGTTGATGGTCTTTTGAAAAGCAGTTTTTCTAGAGTCAACAATATATAGAAGTAAGGTTTGAGTATACTATACTCTCTTCAGATTCCGCTTATAAAATTTTACTAGTTATGTTATTGTTTGTAAGCCGAAATAACAAGAATCGAAACACTGATATTTTCCAATTAAGTTCTATTTATCCTAAAACTTGTCTTATCATAATTAATCGAAACATAAATCATAATTTTACTTTAAATAGATCCACAAAGTATGTACGTACGTTTTCTTCTTTTCTATATAAGAGAAGATAATGATATACCCTCCGATGATTTTTGAATCTTGTGGTCATAAATTAAAATTATGTCAAATGTACAAAATTGCCATTTAATCTTGTGGTCTTAAACATGCCACGTGAAAAATTGAAATTAAAATGTTATCAAAAAAGAAAGAGGTCATTCTTTTTGAAACAGACTAAAAAAAAGGAGGTCATTCTTTTTCAAATGGATGGATTATATAGTTTTCAATTTCCATTTTCAAAAGCATCCAAAGGATAACAACTATAGTGGGAATTAAAAAATGTACAATAATTGGCGATGAATAATTGAGTCGGTTGATTCAGCTTCAAAAATTAATTAAATCAATTTTCAAGAAAGAAGAAAAACGACATTTATTTTAGAACAAAAAACAAAATCAATTTTCAACTCATGCTTATTTTATAGCATGGGCTCCAACTTTCAACCCCTGCAAACTTTAATGCTCGGGCTCCACTTTTAACTCATGTATCTTTACTTTTAACGCATGAGCTCCACTTTAACTCATGCATCTTACTTTTAACGCATGAGCTCCACTTTAACTCATGCATCTTACTTTTAACGCATGAGCTCCACTTTTAACTCATGCATCTTACTTTTAACGCATGAGCTCCACTTTTAACTCATGCATCTTACTTTTAACGCATGAGCTCCACTTTTAACTCATGCATCTTACTTTTAACGCATGAGCTCCACTTTTAACTCATGCATCTTACTTTTAACGCATGAGCTCCACTTTTAACTCATGCATCTTACTTTTAACGCATGAGCTCCACTTTTAACTCATGCATCTTACTTTTAACGCATGAGCTCCACTTTTAACTCATGCATCTTACTTTTAACGCATGAGCTCCACTTTTAACTCATGCATCTTACTTTTAACGCATGAGCTCCACTTTTAACTCATGCATCTTACTTTTAACGCATGAGCTCCACTTTTAACTCATGCATCTTACTTTTAACGCATGAGCTCCACTTTTAACTCATGCATCTTACTTTTAACGCATGAGCTCCACTTTTAACTCATGCATCTTACTTTTAACGCATGAGCTCCACTTTTAACTCATGCATCTTACTTTTAACGCATGAGCTCCACTTTCAACCCTGTTCATCACTTTTAACACAGGGCTCCAAGTTTTAACCCAGATCAATTTTAAATCATGGTAAACAACAGTGATACATGAAGATTGTGTGAAAAAAGAGGATCAAAATTATTATGCTAGAAAATTCATGCCAAAAGGGGAGATTTGTTAGGGTTTTGTCCTGATTTTCTTACCATAATTTAAGATTTATTTTCCTTAAAGAAAAAACAAAACATTACCATAAATGTTTTACTTTTCTTGAAAGGAAAATATAATATTATTTTATATTTGGTTTATTCTCTCCTTTTAGGACTCCTTTTCTAGTAGGAAAGGTTTTAGGACTCTATAAATATAGGTTTGTTTCTTCTAACACAAAAAACAATAACATCCACAATGTAGTCGTTTAAGAGTCTTATTTATGGGGAGATTTATTCTCTCTAAAGTTTCAATGTTTTTCTTTATATTAGTTTTGATATAATAATATTTTAATTTTTAGTATAAGTTTTTGTTATCTGATTTATCAACCATATGATTTGCAAATTGCAAGCTTCCGCATGACGCCTTAATCACCCTTTCGAACCCAACACAAAGAGGATATCAATACGATAAGAACTTTCAAGTAGTATTTATTATCTTAAATTAAAAATATATATATATATGAAGTAGATGTTGAGAATTAGAGAACATTTGTTATTTATACAAAATTCTCAAGGTTAAAAGAGTAAAATGCTCTAAACATATATGTAATATCAAAATTGCTCTACACATATTCTTTTACATGTAATTTAATTTAAAAATTAAGACTTTGGTGCTTCTCTAGTTAACATGGGAAAACTAAATACTGGAGCTGCTGATATTATTTTTTCACCATTTTTTTGCATTTCTATATCATTAATTACTATAATCATCATTTGATTATTTCCATTAATGCCCTTCACTGCTTCAATAATTATTGATTCTTCAATTTCATTTTCTTTGTACTCCTTGTATTTTCCCCATAGAACAAAGTATAGCCCTGCCACTATCACCAATGCACCAACAATTCTGAAATAAAAATAAAAAATAAAAAATTAGTCGATGTAATATATATCGAGAGAAGAAAACAAGTTAATTTCTCATATAATCATCTAACTAAACAATTATTATCTCAAAAAGTCATATTTCTTAATAAAAAAATAACTTTTTGCTATACCAAAAATTGATTGATACAAAAAGATAAAATGTTTTGGTGGGGGTGGAGGTGGGGAGGGGCAGTTGCATAGTAGCTTAGGCTGGTTAGTGGAACATTCTTTGGTCGAAAAATTATATTAAAATATATAAATTAAAAGTTATATTTTATACGTATATATTGTATATTAAATATTTTTAACGAAATTTTTGACTTGACGACTCGTGATTGAGATAGTGGACTTACCCTCCAATATAGAATTTTTCAGCAAGAATGAAAGAGCCCATAATGGCAACAATGATCATCATGAGTGGACTAAAAGCTGTCACAAAAACAGGTCCTTTTTTCTCCATTACTTGACCATGTACATAGTATGCTATGCTTGATGACACAATTCCCTGAAATTTTGTGGAAAAAAAAACTTTGGTTATTTATCATTATCGAAAGGTGATTAGACGGGACATGATATTATATAGCTTATTGATAACATGATCCTAAATAAGAAGAGATGAAGATCGAGGACTAGGACAGAAGGTTAGTAGATAATCGAGGTTGTTTAGTTTCCCTTAGTAGTATTATTAATAATTCTACTATTATCTTATTTTTCGAATTCTTTCTTTGTTTATTACATTATTTGTGGTTATTATTTTTTTCTCCATTATTTTCGATATGTTTTATATAGAAAAATACTAAATCACCTTTACCAGAAAATTAGCAAGGGGCGCCACATGAAACCACCTTTGTCAGAAAACTATATTATATATATAAGGTCAAAATTATTTTCTATTTATATATCATATATGTTGATTCTCCTTAGTTTTTTTTTCTTATTTTTACTTTCTTATATTCTAAATTTATTTAACTGAAAATTCTAACTCTGCAACTGGACTTACGACAAGTGTCAAAGAAAAAGGGTAAAAAAGGAAAAGAACTTACAGCATAGGCAGCAGCAAGAAGGTTCATGTCAAAACCAATAGCCCAAACAGAAGTTTTGTGTTCCATTACAAATGTTAAAGCCATAGATTGCAAAGTTCCCATGAAGCAAACAAGTGCAATTAAAGATAATGGAGCTGTATATTTTCTCATTGTAATAGCCTGTATAACAAAAATAAAAAATTAGTCTTAATATTAATTAATCACCATTTCTTGAATATTCATGAAAAAGAAATAAAATTAAGTTTTAGCTTTCGTTTGATCATAGATCCTAAGTTTGAAACTTAAAACTGAAAAGTTTGTTTCTCGGAGTCTAAAAATTGTTAAAATCTATGATCAAACGTTAGCTGATTGTTTAACATACCTGAAGAATAAAGAAAGAAGCCCAAGCAAGTGTAGCAAAAATGAGGAGAATTGAGCCTTTTAGCCACTCTTTATCATAAGTTCCACTAATTTGATTTGACCAAATTAAATTAACAATTTGGCCTTTGTACAATGTCATTAATATGGCACCACCCATAGTTACTATAGTCCCCAACACCTTTGCTTGGCTTCCAATTTTCTTCAAATTCACCTTCTCCATTCTGAAAAAAAAAACATTACTAACTACTCCAAAATTTAGAAAAAAAAAAGTTGATCTGAACGTCACAGTTATATTACGTACCTACATAGGACTGCTATGACAAATGTCATAGCAGGTAACATGTTGCTTATAGCACATGAAAATGTTGGAGATGTCAATTTAAGCCCAGCATAGTAAAAATTTTGATCAATCAATGGCCCTAGAAGACCCAATACAAATATTTGCAAGAACATCATGAATGTCATCTTTGGCCTAATTTTCCTATCAACCAAAAAAAAAAATTGAGTTATTTTGATATATTTATATCGTATTTTTATTATTATTTTTTACACGATCAGTATAGTTTAACATATAACGCGAGTAATTTTACCTTTCAAGTAAAAGAGCAAAGGGAGCAATAATTGCAGCAGCAAAGGCATTTCTATAGACAACAAGAACATAATGACTCATGCCTCTATTAAGTGAAACTTTGGTTATAATATTCATTCCTGCATAACCAAATTGTAAAGAAATCATGGCTATATAAGGTTTTGATCTTTGAAAAAAATTGCAATTACATTCCCCCTCCATTTTTTTTTCTAAATTTTGAAGAAAAAAAAATTGATAAGAAGGGAGGAAAATAAAAACTCTAAGTTTTTAGAGGAGATTTTTATGTTGTCCCAAGGAGGAGAAGTGTGACAATGAAACATATTTATAGACAAGTAAATTAATTAATAGTAAACATATATGTAATGGTTCTTCTTTTTATTATTTAAAAAAAAAATAAAAAATTATATGAAGATAGTGGAATACACTTTGCAATCAATTAAAAGCAAGCTTTTATATGTGTGTGGTTCACACTAACAAGTGAGTGTAATGTGTACTATCTCCATTTGAATCTATTTGAATATCCTAATTTGGTCATTTTATCCATCAATCATGTAAGTTATTGTATAAAAATTTACTATTGTACATTAATTATCATTATCTATATTATTTTTAAATTTAGTATCTCCATTATCTTCTTTTTTAAGTTTCATGATAATCGCAAGTAATGACACGTCCTTTATTTTAATCTAGAGAGGAGCGTTCTGCCACCTGAATGTAAGGAGAGGGACGTTGAATTTTTTTTCTATAAATTCTTGTGTGACAGCTGATATAGATGATGTTCATTCAATTACCTGATATCATACAAACTCAACTAATTCAATATTTTTTTTCCGAGGATTTGACATGAAACATCTAGTTATCTGATTAATTTTAGAAATCAAATTGAATACCCTTCGTCGAAAATTATATTTTACAATTTTTTTTTATTTTTTTTACATATATAAAATTTTGAAATTCTCTTAAGTTTAAAGCGTTATTACCATTATTATTAGTGCTATGCTGATGCCATACTCAAAATGGATGGGTGGTGGGGTCCATCGTAAATGTGGGACCCATCGTCAATCGTCACACGAATATGCGGCATCTCGTCGCCGGTGATTCGCCCATCGCCGGAACAGTAATAATATATACCGGAGTTGCAATATAATTACATAATTATTGAATAAATATGATAATATAAATAATTAGTGGTAATGGCTTGATTTTAATTATAATCAAGAATATTTGTTCATAGAATATATTATAAAGTATATTATTTTAATTAATTTATTGATTAAATGAAAACGAATCCAAGAACTAATAATTAATGGGTTAATTAATTAATAGTCATCTTTAATTATTTCCAAATTATTCTAGATGCAGCCTACATGTTAAATATTTGACGGAGATCAAAATTGTTCAGTGCATATATAAACAAATATTTTAAACATATATATCTTCAAATATAAGAGACCAATTTGTCATTTTTGTAATTATCTTTTCTTGCCCAACTATTTCGAGTAAAGGAAGATTAGGACCCTGCGATGGGATTTTAGGTAGGGCATCGGGAATCTATGGGTTCACCTCTTGTCTCTCGCTCAAATTTTCTTGTAAACTTGTCACAAATGATGGATCTATTATTATTCTATGTTCTTTCGGAAAGTATGTTAATATATATGTTATGCGGAGTTGAGTATATATTCGTTGGGATAAACACTTTCCTCTGTAGGAACCTAGTGCAGTAAACCCTCTTCTAACAGTCAAAAAGCATATTGTTTAAATTTCTGAATAGCTAAACTTAAAAGGTACGTGAATTCAATGATATCAAAAATTATTTATAATTTAAATTCTGAATCAACTTATGCTATTGAATAAGACATAATATATTCAAGCAATTGTGGACCACATTATAAATTATGGTTCTAGATAGATGAACAAAAACTATTTAATTATTTAATTATTTAGAGAATTGGTTCGATTCTTTGTTGATTAGATTAGAATTTTCCCTAAAAGTCTATTATTAGTATAATAATAAGTTTAGGACATTTGCATTTCTTATGTGGATAGCATGAAAGCAAAGAATTAATATATTATCACACTCTTATTTTCTATTTGCTCCCTTAAGTCTCAATTGTTTCACATGTTGGTACAAAAGGTACAACATATAATATTTTTAGCAACATTAATACAATATTTTTATGGTGATTACAAAAATTTAAAAGGAATATAAAATAAATTGGATATATAAGAATCTCTATCTTACATGCTAGTGGATTTATAGTTAGAAAAGCAATTCTAATTTATTTAATCTTTTTAAGTTAATAGAACATGTTGATTATAACACAAAGTATAAAAAACTTGCTTAAATGAACGGTACGTATATTATTTTTTACATATACACGTCTATTACTTGACCATAATTGTTTTGTATATGTTTTATCACAATTCATTACTTAATAATGATAAATTAATAGTTTAATACAAACATCATAAATATTAGATTTGAATATATTACTATTGGATAGAAACTCTAGAAGTAGACACCTTTTTTGCGATGTCTGTGTTTTTAGCATGATAATTAACAACTTCAAAAAATTGAAAGACATGTAAAAGTTAAATTCAATTGACTATTGAAATTTTGTTGGTGTCATATAAATTGGAAAAGAAGAAGTAACAATATTATTTGAAATGACGTAAAAGAAATTATAAATCACAATAATTAACAGCTTGAAATATTTGAAATACATATAAAAAAAATTGGTTGACTCTTGAAAATTTATTTGTGCCACATAAACTGAGACATATAAATGAGTAATATATTATTTAAAACATATGTAAAAAATACTATAAATCATAAAAAATAATAATTTAAAATATTTTAAAACTATATAAAATATCCAAATTGACTATCCAAATTTTAAAAGTTCACACAAATTGAAATAAATAAATAAATAAATATATATATATATATATATATTTGGCCAGTGCTGATACAGACTCATGTGTCTAGTGTGTATATATATATATCATCATCAGCTAGCACCCAAGACAGGGAACTAATATCACATATATTTGTGATATACCAAATGAATATTTCAATAGATAGTGGGATTAAATTATTCTATGATATGATATGAATATTAACGTATGTAGAGATTCTAATTATTGAGAATCAAAACGTCACACATTATTCCAATTTATCTCCTAAACCATTTCTTGCTAACTAATAATTACTTGCTTCTATTTATTTTTTTAAAAACTTTTTGCTTCTCTATTTTCTAGTGTTGCTTCTACTCCCCCAGCCAATCATTTTCTGACAAACCAAGCACCATAATATATTCTTCTTGAATTAATAGGAAAATATTTTTTCAGTGAGTTTGTTTGAAATAATTTTCATTTTTTTTATTCAAGATGAATTAATTTAAATAGTCATTTACCCAACGTTTAAATTTTAAAATAATTTGTGAATGTAGAATATATGTATAATTTGTTTTTTTTTCTTAAATGTTATATTCTTCCAACTAAAAATGAAAATAGCTAAATTAGCAACCTCAAAAAAAATAAAATTGACATGTCCATAATACATAAAAGAAAGCAAAAGCGCACACACTATAACAAAATTCCTATAAGCGGCAATTGAGTTATTCTATATTCATAGATCGAACTCATAAATTATAACTAAAAAGAATGTGAATTTCTGACGAGCGCTCTTGGTAGTAATGCCCCAGTGCCCACCTGAGGCACCGCTCAGAGAGTTTTGGTAGTTCAAGTGAAAGTTTTTTAAGAGAGAAAACTGACGTCCGAAAGAACTGCTTGACTTCAAATTAACCGATGGATCTACATCCATCCCTGAATGTCGTTTCTAGTCTATCTCTTTCTATTTCTTTTCTATATTTTCTATATATGAAAAGTTCAAAAATCAACAAGATGTCGTGACCGCTTAGGCTTGGTTTACTTTGGTTTTGGTTTGAATGTAAGGATGGAGAGATCTTATCTCTCTCATTATAACCCTCAGTGATTATTATATATTTCATAATTATCTTCTTATATATAGTACTTAGGTTTATACATATTTAAAGTTGAAGTGAATTTTGTTGTAAAAAGAGAAGAGATAGAGAGTGGTCTTTAGGGTTGTCATGTTTGTATTTTATGGGCAACTTGTCTTATAAGAAGGTAGGAACATCTACTTATCCTACTTTTGTTTTCTTCTCACCTTTTTCAATTCTTCATGTTTTTTTTCTTCTTATATATGGTTGTGTCAATGGGTGTGTGTCATCATATAACTTGTATAACCTAATTCAATCACATGGTACCTAAGTGGCATAATGATCGAAATGGTAGGTCATCACACTAAACTTAGATTCTACACGAGTTGATGAGTTGAATCTGAATGAATCAAAATTTATTGAGTAACTAAATGAGTCAAAACTTAGATTGAGATGACTTGAGTTAAGGCAAATAATAGTTCATAGTCCAATCCATTCAACTCTTATAAAATTTTTATTAATATATTTAATTTCCAAGCAATTTTTTTTATTGTTATATATAAATGTAATAAATTAAAATCATTTCGACAAAATTTATCATAGGTTAATTTGAGTTATATATTTTGGCCCAAATTACCCTGTCTTTTAAATGAGTGATTTATAATATGCAACTTCCTAATATTAGACATAGATATGACAAGTCTGATTTTATTTTTTTTGGCCGACTTTTGCTCAATTTTTTTTGCAGTTTTTGGAGGTTAGGTCTTTGTCCCTTTCTTCTTCTTATAATCTTCAATGATTGAGAGACCTAAAATTTATGAGAATGATTGTGGGTGTACTGGGTCGTCTTGAACTTTTAACTCTGCTCTTTCAATAAGCATCGTTAAGTTTAACTATTTTTTACTTTTGGCCTTTGAAAATTTGCTCATGAGGCAAATGGAGGTAAAAAATGTGAGACCACACATTTTCAAATACATCATTGGATGTAATTTCATGCTTTCAAATGAGCTAAATCGAACGGATCAAAATTGACTAAGTTAATAAATTGATTGATCATTAATCCATCCAATGTGTCATCATGTTTACACCAAACTAGGAACAAATTATGGTTCAAGCCTAGATAACATAATCTACAAACCTCTTACGCCTACTATAATAATTGTACTAGATAATTATAAATTAACCTAACTTTGTGGAGTAGTACAATTATATTGCAAGTCATGTCCTATTCTATTTATCCCCTTTTTTTCCTTGGTCAAAAAAGTAGGAAAATCATCATAAAAATATTAATTTTATAAATGTTTAATATAATTTATTAATG